GTCTGCATCTGTCTGCAGCTGTCTGCAGCTGTCTGCAGCTGTCTGCAGCTGTCTGTATCTGTCTGCAGCTGTGTTTCCTGATAACGGCCTGGCATCAGGGGAGGGGCTGGAGGTTTTCTACAAAACTGACTTTTTCAGTTCAGGAGGTCAGAACGAGTCAGAGCCTCAGAAAAGTGAAGGCACTGATAAGTTTTGTGAATTTATCAATGTATTGATCTTCTGTGATTGCTGGTTGTTCTCCAAAGTTCTGTAATAAATCTGATGATCTTACACCTGGTTGTTTGGGGAATCTCTTTGTTCCACAACAGCTATTTTGTAAATTCTGGATGATGGTGTACATGAGTGTGCATGGCATGAATAACTTCTGCACTAGTACATGCTCCCATTTATTTATTTATTTTTAATTTGTGCCTATTTTAACAAACAACACCAAGTTAGTGTACATTCTGCAGCTGTAACAACATGGCTTTTAGTAAAATTATACCTGTACTGAAATAATCAAATGTTCCAAATCTTTTTTAAGTTGTAACTTTTTGAAAAATTCAGATAATTATTCAACTCAAATGACTTTAAAATGATGTTTCCCAATAAAATTTAATTTAATTTATATATACGTATAGCACATTTAAGAACAATAGTCGTTGGCCAAAGTGCTGCAAACAAAAGCAACAAATTAGAAGAATTATTTTTGAAACGTTAAGTTTTCAAACAGTATTATTTGCCAGTGAGTTTTGTTTTTTGTTTGCAGTTCATGTAAACACCTAACTATTAATTTGGAAGTGTTTACGGTGCACAGTTCTAAACTTCAGCAGGACTCACAGTGTAGTTTGTCCTGCAGCAGCATGAGCTGTTCTGTCTGCTTCATATTCGCAGCCTTCAGCTGTTGGTTCTCCAGCTCCATCTGTAACAAAGAAAATCAAGTGTCACTTGTTAAAAAACAAGCTAAAACATTCGGTCAAATCTAAAAAGACAAATGCATTTAGTTAAAATTAAAACAAGCAGAACACTAGCTAAAAACTAAATAAAGCAGAACACTAGCTAAA